GGCAACCTTGAAATCGCAGCGGCCCGGCGACTCATTCACGGCCCGTTCGTTTTGAAAGAAAATAAGGCAAAGAAGAATGCGTAAACACACCGGCGGTAAAGACAACGACGCGGGTGAATCGAGCTGATCTAATATTTCGGAAATCGCCTTCAGCTCGCGATCGGTGGAGGTCCCTTCGGGGGTATTCGACTTTCGCTTTTTGGAAGGGCGTTTCGACCAGTGCGAGAGGGCTTCCCCTTCCATTTTAGGATTGACCTCTGGGCTCAACAACGACGATACCCCTAAGCCACCCGGAATGGATTCTTTTAATTCCGCAACCAAGCGATCCACCACCTCCTCATTACACAACAGCCCACAGGGGCTGTGTTTGACAATCACCTCCACAAAGCGAATGAAATCCCGCTGAACGCGAGAATTCTCGCGAAGGCGAATCGCAAACAGATGGGAATAAAAAGTCTCCAAGGCGTCCGTGTGTTTGAGCGCGAAAAGCATCGTCTCGACGCCCGCCTTTGCGGAAAAGTCCACAAATTCCATGAAGCCATGCATAGAAGGACGCTTCACAAGAGTTTGGACGTAAAATAACGCCAAATCCGAGACCTCCTCATCGCGACGATGCAGAAGATCCATTTGAATGCCACCCAAACTCATCGATTTCGATTGGCGCTCGGAAGGGCTTGATTCGACCGGTTTATTTTCAGAGATCAGGTTCGCGCCTGGGGAGCTTCCTGACGGGGGAGTGATACTTTCTCCCATTTTGCTGTTATCGCTCGGGGATGGATGGCCATCACGGGGTTTATAGACCAGCGGCGTTTCGAGAAGCGCGTCAATGCCGGCAAGAAAATCCGAACTCTGTCGTTGGCGTTTGGGTTTCTGACTCATCGTTATCCGAGTTGCTTCAATACACTGGCACCACTATGATGATCTTCCCATGCATACACCTCTTTTTTTAATCCCTCTTTCCCTCAACTAAAAAGGCCAAACCTAACGCTAAAATAAAAAAACGAGATAAAAAGAGAACCAGTCACCATCCCTATTCTCAGTGCCTTACATACGCTCAATTAGGTTTTGAAGTATTCGCATGGAGGAGCGTCCCAAGACCGGATTGTCGGGATTAGGGTTGTTGTTCAGACAGGAAAAACACAGCCTATGGTTAGTTACGTATTTTTTAATAATAACACAGGTCGTTGACCTCTTAATATGCAATCATATAACGTATCCAGCGTATCATTGGTAATTTGAGCTACCGATGTCCCCTTTTGCGAGGTGACCTTTCCGCCGCACCCGGTAATAATTTCCTGAACCGTACTCCGCTGCTTAATAGGCAATCCACTGAGCTGAAATTCGAGACCTTTCAGAAGAGGGATCTCGCGCGTTCGAAAGATCGCGCTTCGCAAGGCCGGCGCGGTGTAAGTCACGTCCAAGTACTTTAGCGAGACGATGAACTTCGAGAGATCGCCATCCGTCAGGGCCGCTTCGAGGTGCGGGATATCCACAATCGGGATCCCCCGGCCGACGGCGATGATAAACTTCGGCGTCCGGGTGGGCGGGGCTGGGACGATGAGCAAATTCGCCCTCGCGATGCCCTCGACGAGGCGGCCGTTGTGGGCCTTCAGGGCCTGCTGGGCCATCCCGCGCTGCTTCGCGGTCATCCCGGACACGCAGCCCACGACAGGGGCCCTCGCGCGCGCGGCCGCGTTGCCGGGCCGCGGCTTTTCGCCCGATTTCGGCCGTTTGGGGGGTTCGGCAGGGGCCGCCGCCGTGGGCGAACGCGCGCGTTTTTTCCCGGTTTTTGAGGGGTTCGGGGGCGCCTTTTTCGCCATCGCC